TAGATCGAACTAGATGGAACTAGATGGAACTAGATGGAACTAGATGGAACTAGATGGAACTAGATGGAGCTAGATGGAACTAGATGGGAACTAGATGGAACTAGATGGAACTAGATGGAACTAGGAAAGGAAGTGGTAGGAACTAGATGGTACTAGATGGAACTAGATGGAACTAGATGATGGGAACTAGATGGGAAACTAGATGGGAACTAGATGGAACTAGATGGAACTAGATGGGATGCTAGATGGTAGACTAGATGGAACTAGATGGAACTAGATGGTAACTAGATGGAACTAGATGGAACTTGATGGGACTAGATGGAACTAGATGGAACTAGATGGGAACTAGATGGGAACTAGATGGAACTAGATGGAACTAGATGGGACTAGATGGAACTAGATGGGAACTAGATGGAACTAGATGGAACTAGATGGAACTAGATGGAACTAGATGGAACTAGATGGAACTAGATGGGAACTAGATGGGAACTAGATGGAACTAGATGGAACTAGATGGAACTAGATGGAACTAGATGGAACTAGATGGGAACTAGATGGAACTAGATGGAACTAGATGGAACTAGATGGAACTAGATGGAACTAGATGGGAACTAGATGGTAACTAGATGGTAACTAGATGGAACCAGATGGAACCAGATGGAGCTAGATGGAACTAGATGGAACTAGATGGAACTAGATGGAACTAGATGGAACTAGATGGGAACTAGATGGTAACTAGATGGAACTAGATGGAACTAGATGGAACTAGATGGAACTAGATGGAACTAGATGGAACTAGATGGAACTAGATGGAACTAGATGGAACTAGATGGAACTAGATGGGACCTAGATGGGAACTAGATGGAACTAGATGGAACTAGATGGAACTAGATGGAACTAGATGGAACTAGATGGAACTAGATGGGAACTTGATGGGAACTAGATGGGAACTAGATGGAACTAGATGGAACTAGATGGAACTAGATGGAACTAGATGGGAGCTAGATGGTAACTAGATGGAACTAGATGGAACTAGATGGAACTTGATGGGAACTAGATGGAACTAGATGGAACTTGATGGAACTTGATGGAACTAGATGGAACTAGATGGGAACTAGATGGGAACTAGATGGAACTAGATGGAACTAGATGGAACTAGATGGAACTAGATGGGAACTAGATGGAACTAGATGGAACTAGGAAAGGAAGTGGTAGGAACTAGATGGAACTAGATGGGTACTAGATGGAACTAGATGGAACTAGATGGAACTAGATGGAACTAGATGGAACTAGATGGAACTAGATGGGAACTAGATGGTAACTAGATGGAACTAGATGGAACTAGATGGAACTAGATGGAACTAGATGGTAACTAGATGGAACTAGATGGAACTAGATGGAACTAGGAAAGGAAGTGGTAGGAACTAGATGGAACTAGATGGAACTAGATGGGTACTAGATGGGTACTAGATGGAACTAGATGGAACTAGATGGAACTAGGAAAGGAAGTGGTAGAAACTGGTAGAAACTGGTAGAAACTGGTAGAAACTGGTAGAAACTGGTAGAAACTCCCAAGAACCATTTGCTACTGGGGATTCCACGTGCTGGTGGCCTCAGTCATCGCTACACCAGCAAAAACAGAACGGCAAAGAACGCAGTCGCTGCAAGATTTGCAAGGCTGATGCGCGAAGGGTGCGTCACCCTCATCCTTCTGCATAGCCTCTGACAAGTCTGGCAAGACACAATTCACACACAATGAGAGAATCTGAAATGAGAAATCCCTGAGGTCTTTCCTTCTTTTCAACCAGAAATCTCAACTCTCGGGCAACACCTCAAACTTCGACTGCAAGTAAACCCTCAAGGCCCTCAAGGTCTAAAGATGCAAGCAGCTGCAAGCAAAGTCTAAAGGCAGAAATTGCCTTAAAGCTACCCTATCGGCATTACAAGATACAGTCAAATATATTTCAAGAAGGGTACGGACTCAGCCACAGGTTCCCAAAATGAAGGAAGTGACTAAAAAGATTGAGAGGTTGTGACTGAGATTTTGATACCACAAATGGCATCTAATCGAACTGACTCTGACTCCTCGATGGTGCTCAAGTCTTAAATCCACCTCCCCCCACCTCCTCAACCCATGAGAACCTCAATACACTGGCAGAGAAATGAGCTCCAAAAGCTGCCACGTTTTTCACTTGGTTTCACTTGGTAAACCACGTGTTTGCTTCCGAGGAACCAAGCTGCCAAAGGAGGATGGACAGAGACAGAGACGATGTTTTGATTTGCAAAGAATTTCTTCCTCTAGTGAGTTCTGTGTGAGCTCTATGTGAGTCAGTTGTCTGTGCAGCGGTTGCAGCAAAGCTATATAAATGGCAACAAATCCCATTGCTAAAGATTTCTTGAGTGGGACTCGATAGACACAAATTTGACTAAGGCCATTCATGCAATCACAGAGAAGGTAAAAGATACATCCAAACGATCTTTCTAGATTGTCACTGCATCGGAGCCTGTCTTCCCTCTGCTCCAAAGTCCCTCTTGGACCCTCTCGTTCTGAGCAAAATTTGGCAGCGGACGACCAGGGTGACGAAAACTTTACGGAGTTGGTGATACTCCGAGATGATCAGCCTGCCAATTTGGCCAACTTGTGACTTTGCAATCCTGTTGTCAAATGGAGCAGATACACAGATCGACATAGATCATCATTAGTCATCATTGATCCAGGTAGACTTTATAAACTGTGCCAAGTTGATCCAACCTTCCCAGAGACCAAGGGCATCGTGGTAGCGGTAACGGTCATCTTTTCCAAATGTGCCACGCAACCGCCAGAGGATGGGCTGCCCAATCACGCGTCGCCACAAAGGCAAGTGCACCTCAGGTGAAGGTTCACAAAAATGTTCACAAGGCAAGGATGGAAAAACATGGTAACAGCATCTGTAAGAGGCCGTGTCGGTGATGACATCACACAGTGCCAGGACGATGAGGGAAGTGTCCGAAACTGTAGTAAATTTTACCGTGTTTATACCAAAAACATGGTCCAAAGAGGTATCAGATACGAAACGTAGCACGCTGGCATCTAAAACCACACTCAAGGCATCCAGGTAAACAAATAAACTGACGGGGCATGCCAGGGCATGACAGGGCACAGGTTTGCAGAGCACATCCACGTTGACTGGATCAATTTCCTGCAATTGTGTGCAGAACTCTTGGCTGAAACATGACAGAGTACTATCGTTATGTTTCACTGAAGTTCACTGCTCAGTTCACACCAGAACAACTGTTGAACAACTCCGAACTGCAATTGTGTGCAGAACTCTTGGCTGAAACATGACAGAGTACTATCGTTATGTTTCACTGAAGTTCACTGCTCAGTTCACACCAGAACAACTGTTGAACAACTCCGAATGAACCATGACCTGAACAGGGTTTCAGGTCGGCATCTGGTGATGTCCCGAGATTTTATCTCCATGTGCGGTTCTTGGATGCATGAGCTATCTATTTTATAATGTCCTCATCACTCGGGAGAATTGTTGGCTAGACTCTTTTTGAATCTGTTTGACCTGTTTGAACACCTTCCCAGCACTGCTGCCCTGGCAAAACAGCACAGGAAACCACCTTTGTTCCATGAGGAACTTCCCAGACACTTCCACGCTTAGACTGTCCAAACGATCCAGACAGTCCAGTTCAGTCAATTTCGCACGTGGAAACCGCCCCTGTCGGATGTCACCGGTGTCACCGCTCTGTTCCCAGGCCTGGGCCACATGGTGGGCAAGACCTTCCATGTGTTTCACGCCCACCACTGCAAGCACCAATCCAGGAAGGGTTTGCAATCGCCGGGCCATGACTTTGTCCCTGGCAGTTGACGTGAAAAGTCACGAGATGTGGGGAAAAATTGGTTCACTTGGCACTTGGACTCGATTTTTTTCCAATGGCCAATTCAAGGCCAGCAAATGCAAAACCGTCGCTCGATGTTTGAAGTCGATCATACTCTATTGATCACTGTTGATTTCTCTTGATTTCTGTTGAATTGCGTTGATTTTTTGATTCATCCCGAAGCGAAGCCTTTCGTCCCAAATGCAGGTGGCGACTGCTTCCTCCAATGCCTCCTCCAAACGCAAAACTAAAGCAGAGCGTCAGCAAAGATCACTCGTTACGAGTCGTTGTCATAGATCATCGAAGTCTTAACAAAGGGCCTACAGAACCCAACAGCGCGTCTCAGGCAACCGTGCCCCGGAAGAAACCATCCAAAAAAATAACGAAGTCAAAGACAAATCGCACAGGGTGCGGATCTCAAACGTTTGCAAATGTGTTAACATGATCAAAGAACATTTAGTTAGAAAACTTCCGAGTTACGGACGATACTCATGGTCAGCATTACCACCATCACGTCAACCATGTCATCATGTCAACCACATCATCATGTCAACCACCCATCAGCAAGTAGTTGGGAAGCGCAACAGTTCGGAAACATGTGACTTCACTGGTGAAAACACTCTTCGCGAAACCCCTTGCTTTTTCGGGAAAGTGACTCCTGGAGTCGCCAAAGGAGGGTCTCTGTTAACGCGGGCTTGATTTGCACTTCAAAATCGCCAAAAAAAATGGTGGGATCGGAGCACTTTGGGAGGATGAGGTCGGCAAAATGTGCACCAGACTGTACCAGTAGCGAGAGATAGCTTTCCCATAAAAATCGCAAAAAACTGGCACGTTCGGGGCACGCAGAACATTTGCACAACTTGGACATATTCATCTGATCTTTGAAGGCATTTCTTATCAAGAGAAAAGGACCGTGCCCTCGACGTTTCGAGGGTTATGAGCCCAAAACGCCTGTCTTAGCAATGGAAGATAGGAAAAGATCCAGTTCGGTTCCCCCGGCATGCCCTTTTTGGAGTGATGGAGTTCAAACAGGCCACGCTCTTGAACATATGCGGCCTTTGGATTTAGATGGTAGGCATCAACCTGTTCCCCATGATGATGAGCTAGAAAACTCAGCAAAACCACTGCAAGAGATGCCAAGCGGTTTGCAGTCTGTGGGTCAGTTTGAGTCACCTGCTAGTGAAAGGGGTCGTCCTGCTGAGCCCAGCGGTGTGGAGAACCATGTGGAAGCTGCCGTGGAGCCAGAGAGGATCCAGGCAGAAACAGAGAATGGTGACTCTGCTGGTGCGAGGCGTTCTGAGAGAGCTTGGAGGCGAAGAGGACATGCTGCGGATCGGTCGGTGAGGGCTGATCTTGGAACTGATGGAAAAGTGGAGATGAATGGAAAAGAGTTAGAGAAAGAGTTGGGTGACCAGGTTCTTCAGCACGTTCAACATGAAACAGCTAGGCTTCAGCAACAGAATGATGAGCTTCAACGAGAACTTCAAAAAATGAGGGAAGAAAGGGATCGTCATGTTGCTTTAGCAGTACCGCCGTCATGGGTGCCGAAGTCACCTCCACGCATGACCCCATCTATGGAATCACATGGAGCATGGGTATCACCTGTGTCTTTCCATTGCACACCAAATGGCACACGTGTTCCGCCGGGACCACCACCACCAGATCCACCTGCTTTGCCTGTTTGGCCTCCGGAGATCAGCAGTGTTGAGCCCAGTGTGGAACCTCCCAGAAAGATCCGAGGTGTGATGGGTGGGAATGGAAATCGGAGCAGTGATGTCTGCTCACCAAGAGCGGCTAGGAATCTTTGGCTTGAAAGAGAAGTAGCAGCACTGCAAGAGAAGTTGGATCAAGAAGCCTTGAAAAACAAACAGTTGTCTGGGTATTGGTCCACCATGAGATACACTGCCATGAACATGCTGCATGCTAGCCCGATCACCAAGAAATACACCACCATGAACATTCTGCATGCAAGCCCGATCACCATGAAATACATCACCATGAACATGCTGCAAGCTAGCCCGATCTGGTTGATAAAGATCACCAAGCGCATGCTCAGTGCCAGCCCGATCACCATGAAATATGCCGTGATGGCGAGCCGCTTCACTAGACATCCAACGATCGGTCATGCCAGCTTGACGTTTCATGCATGCTACTGACTCCGCAAGTTCTTTCTCCCTAGCAGACTCTGTCAAAAATGGAGTGATCGGGCTAGCATGCAACACGTTCATGGCAGTGTATTTCATGGTGATCGGGCTAGCATGCAGCATGATCATGGTCTCGTTGGCTCGCAACGTCAGGTTGGTGCCGAGCATGAGCATGGAGATGTATATGCACGAGGTCGGGCTAGCACTGTGCATGGGCATGGAGATGTATATGCACGAGGTCGGGCTAGCACTGAGCAAGAGCTTGCAGTTGCTTGAAGGAGTTTGCACTCAAGATCGGGCTGGGCGTCAGCGTAGCATGTCACGAGGAGATCGAGATGTGGTCGAAGATGGTGATCTGAAAGCGATTCCAATCACTCTACCTCTCTTGCCTTCACCGGAAGGACGCGATTCAAGTTTGGAAGCTGGAGATTGGCTGATCCAACTTGCACCACTGGTTGGAGACTTATCCAAAAATGCTGCGTCTTGGTGGAGGAGAGTCATGCAGGCGACCACGGACAAGTACTCTGAGTGGCTCTATGCCGACCCATTGGCTCGATTGAAAAATTACCGCCCCAGAAAACTCCAAGATCTCTGAGGGCTATGAAAGATTGGATCAAAGAATAACGTCTCTCCTTTTGCAGTCCATCCCGAAGGGCATCAAAGATGAGGTCGTTGCAGCCAGAGAGTTGACAACCACTGGCATACTCTTCAGAATCTTTCGCACATTTCAACCAGGTGGAATGGCAGAGCGCAGCCGACTGCTGGAAGATTTGACCACTGCCTCAAGTACCAAAACAGCTCAGGAAACGGTTGCTGCTCTACGTCTATGGAAGCGAAAGGCAAGCAGAGCTGCTGAGTTGTGCACTCAGCTTCCGGATCCATTGCTGATGATCCGAACACTGGATGGAATCTCCAAACCGATCGTCAACGGATCGACTCAGGCAAGTTTTCGCATTGCCACGTTCAGGATGAACCACAACCTGGACGTGAGACCATCCATAGAGAACCGTTGGCTTTTCTATGATCTGCTGTTGGCGGAGGCGGAGAATGCTGTGCACTCAACCTCTACTGCAATTGTTAGTGAATGCAAGACCCCAGCAAAACCATCAGTGAAAGCGCTGCAGTCACCATCTACGGCAAAGTCCAGCGAATCGTCCACCCCATCAACATGGCCATGCAAATTTTGGTTGACGGATGGAGGATGTCGTCAAGGACAAAGGTGTCGGTGGCCACACTCATGGGACAATGTGAGCGACAAGAACTCACGATGTTGGCTTTGCAGCTCCACGCAACATCTACAACAAGATTGCCCTACGAAAGCACAGGCACGTGCACCTGTGGGGGGAGATGGAGGTCAAGATGGTGGACAAGATGTTGGAGGTGGAAAAGAAAAGAAAGATGCCAAAGGGAAAGGAAAACACAAGGGTAGCAAAGGCAAAGGAGAAGGCAAGGTGGGGGTCAAAGAGAACACCCAGTCAGAAATCAAAAAAGAAGATGGAAACAAGACCACTGGCAATGCCAATGAGGAGAACAAGGGTGTTGGAGGTGGTACGAAAAATGCGGGTGCATCAGGTACAACTGCTACAAGCGAGAAACCGGAAGGAGCTGGAGGTGGAACATCAGAAGAGCTGCTACAAGAAGCAACCAAGCTCCTGAAGTCTTTGCATCTACCCAGCGTGAAATCCATAAGCCTTCAAGAAGTTGGTGATGTCAATCAGAACCAGGAAGGAAAAATGTTGTTGGACAGAGGCGCGACCCACGCACTGAGAAGGGCAGCATCATGGTTGGAGTGGGAGGAGGCGACACCTACAGTTGTGGCACTTGCTCAGGGTACTACTTCAAAACTGCGTCTCAAACATGGAACTTCAACTTTGCTGTCCACACCGCAGGACGATAGTTTTGGAAATGGTATTGTTCCGATGGGTGCGATCACCAAACTGGGATATGAAGTTTCCTGGATCGGGGGAGATTGCCAACTTCGAGGGCCTGATGGAAAGAATTTGGATGTGGAGGTCGTGAATGGTTGACCGTTGATCGACTGCAAGATGGGCATGAAACTGATCAGTGAGCTGGAGCATGAGAGCAGTGTGCCTTTGGCTAGAACAGCAATGGTCAGAGCGATCTTGCAACAGCCGGAGCTGGTGACGAAGTTCCCCAATTTGGACCCGACTGTACTTCTTATGGTTCTGCTGAAACAAGAATATCCAGATCTTCCTGACAGCATCTGCCGCAAGATTGTTCCATCAACTAAAGAAGTTCAAGGAGATCAACTGCCGTGGAATAGAAGGCAAAGGCGTCAAATCCTGAGAGCTCGGCGAGTGGTGGTTCATCTCTACAGTGGTCCAGATCAAAAGACATGGAAGAAATTAGAGGATGCTCACACTGTGGTTATCTGCGTTGACAAGTTGATCAACCCCAAGATGGACATGATGAATGACCAAGTGATGCTCTTCTTGATGAAATTAGCTATGAAGGGGTCGCTTCATGGCCTGATTGGGGGCCCACCATGCAGGTCAGTTTCGGCCTGCAGATATGCTGAGGATGGAGGTCCCAAACCTGTGAGAAGCGAAGCTGAACCATATGGTCTTTCAACCTTGTCTCCTGCGCAATTGGAAAAAGTTGAAGAGGATGTCACGTTGCTCTTCCGTATGATGTTGCTGTACTCCATTGCAGAGCACTACAAGGTGGGATGGTGTGAGAAGGTGTTGTTCGCGCTCGAACAGCCTCAGGATCCAAGAGAATATCGTTCCAATCAAGATGTGCAGCGGCATGGATACATGAGCATCTGGAGAATGGCAGCTTGGAAAAGTTTTGCTGCTAAGTATGGGCTTCGTCACACCTGTTTTGAACAGGGAGCGTATGGACATGTAAAGCCAAAGCCCACCACTGTTGCACACAACATAGATGGCTTGGATGAACTTCAGGGGGCACAAGCCCCGAGAACAAGTGTGGAAAGTAAGCGACAGGAGAAAACGTTGGAGGAGCGTATGGCAGAATCATCAACGTGGGCTACATGGGCTCCGGGGTTGAAAGCTGCGATGATTGAGGGGATGAGGAGAGAGTTTGCAAAGGACGAAGATGGCTGTCGCCAGCTTGGGGCACCGGGCAATGGGAGGAGGCAACGTGGGACTCTGAGACCGGTGGCACGAAAGCCCAACGATTACAGCCGCAATTGTGCCCCTTATCAGAAGTCGCTCTGAACAAATGGAAGCGACACGTCCTTTGCGATCATCAACCCATGAGGAGAGACTGCAAAGTGTGCGTTGAGGCTGCAGGTCAATCTCGTCATCATCGGCGGGTACAACATCCTGGTGCTTTTTGTTTGTCCATGGACTTGTCAGGTCGACTCAAACGTGGGAAGGATCAGTTTGGGCATACAGGAAGCTACATCATGGTGGCTTGCTATACTTTTCCTGTCACAGCTGATGATCATCCATTGGTGGGCCCAGGTCATGCAGCACCACCAGAGGATGCTCCGCTACCATCCCTAGATGAGGTGATCGAAGAGGATGTAGAAGATGGTGAACTTCCTCGCTTTGAAGAGGGTGATGAGGTAGGTCATGACACAGTGGATGAGGATGCGATGAATGCAGCACAAGCGCCTTACAACAGCTGGATGAAGTTGGTGGAGGAATGCAAACAGGTGAAAGTCAAAACTCTTACGTTCTCAGAGGTTATCCACTCACGAGAGACTGCTGATGTCATGGAAGGCATAGCAAAAATTTACAGCCGAGTGCGAAGCCTTGGACTTCAGGTGCTGCGACTACATGCAGACCGGGCACGAGAGTTTACATCCCGGGCAGTTCAACGTTGGTGCCATCAAAGAGATATAGTGGCAACATACACATGTGGAAGCGATTGGAAGAGCAACGGACGAGCCGAGTGTGAAATCGGCTTGATCAAACGGCATGCCAAGATCTTGATGAAGGCCCACAACATCAATGAGGAGATGTGGCCGATGTTGGTTCGTCATGCCTCTGAGCATCGTCTACGATGGCAACTACAACAAGTGGGCTATCCAGTTCCAGAGCTTCTTCCATTTCACACCAAAGTCTATGTGAAGCGCAAATCTTGGAACGAGCGCTACGCTTCTTGGCGTTGGGAACGAGCACCTGGCCGCATCATGGGCCCAGATCCTTGGTCATCTTTGACGTCAGGTGGCTATTGCGTGCAGTTGGAGGATGGCAAGTTCCTAGCGTCGTCTGATGTGGTGGTGGAACAATTGGAACCGGGGGAGGTGCCAGTTCAGGAGTTAGTGGTGCAAGAACGATTGCAAGTAGCTGAAGATCACCAATTTGCTGATGTGCCTCGACGAAGATTGAGGTACAAACAAGCGGTGCCGCAACTGGCTCGACTGGAGTTGGCATCCAACTCGGGGGAGGAAGAGCGACATGGACTGGGTGAAGGTGACAAGTTGGAAGTGAAAAGATTGATGAAAATGCATCATGAAACTGCAAAAGTTTTGAGTGAAGAATGTGTTCTCATGGACGAAATGGACATCAATCAGGCAGCATATGGCGAACCAAAAACTTGATCTAGAACTTCAACTACGAGCCTTGGATGTTCAACATCAACAACAGATTGAGGAGGAGTTCTTGGTCACAAAAACTATAGCTGCGGAGCAGGTCCATCGAGAATGGGAACAGTGGAAACCAGCTATGATGGCAGAATACAACTCCATCGTTCAGGAAAAGAAGGCAGTGAGACAGGTCTCTCGAGCTGAAGCAGCAACTTGCTTTGGACAAAAATCTCAAGTATGAAGAGCTGCCCAGCAAGGTGGTCTTCACGCAGAAGATGGGTGGAAAACATAAAGTGAGGGCTTGTATTTGCGGCAATTTTGAGGAGGAATCATCAACTGCAACGTATGCGGGTGGATGTGATGCGTCCCAAATTCGGTGTCTGGTACGACATGCTGCACTACAGGAGTGGGAGATCTATGGCACTGACATCAAATGCGCTTTCCTCAATGCTGAGCGCACTGACCACTCAAAGGTGATAGCTATGACCATACCGGGCATCTATGTCAAGTTGGGAGCTGCAACGGCACAAGAAGTTTGGCTGGTGGATGCAGCAATGTATGGCCTTACCAGTAGCCCTCGAGATTGGTCTGATCATCGAGATAAGGTGATTCCGGCCATGGCATGGCAGCGAAAAGAGGGATCTGCAACTTGGGTTGGTGGTTTTCGTCGAGCAGCAGATCAGCACTTGTGGCATCTTCGAGAAGAGTGCGTGGAAACGGGGGAGCGTGTCAACCGGGGCCTGATGGCCATCTATGTTGATGATGTGCTTTTAGCTGCAGGAGACAAAGTTGCCCCTTGCGCTCTGGATGCTATAGCTGCGGTATGGGAATGTGCCAAGCCTGAGAAAGCCTGCTTGGATCAATCAGTGACGTTTTGCGGTTTTGAAGTTCAAAAGAATCAGCTAGAACATGGAGGAGGATTTCGCTTGCATCAAGCGAGCTATGAGGAAGAGCTCCTGAAAAAGTGGAGTGTTCACTCCTCTGCCATGCAGCTGCAATTCAAGCTACCTACACCGGAAGAGGAGGCGGAAATGCAGAAGTCTGAAAGTCCTGATGAAGTACGTCAAGCCCAGGCATGCACTGGTGCCTTGCTTTGGTTAGCAACTCGAACAAGGCCGGAGTTGTCAGTTGGAGCAGCTTCAATGTCAAGGTTATGCACAAAGTCACCTGGGACGACGCTCCACATTGGGAAGAAAATCATGGAGTACCTCAAGAGACCGACTTTGGGTCTGATCTATGGTGCCACTTGTGGACCAGAATATGGGGATCGTCAACAACTGAGCTTGCCAAGGTGTCAACCTACTGTGGAGGCCTTCTCTGACATCTCCTACGCTTCAACAAAAGGGTATCGGTCAGTGCAGGGTCAGGTGTATTTCTACGCTGGAGCACCTATCATTTGGAGTTCAAGTAGGCAAAGTTTTCCAACACAATCTACTGCAGAGAGCGAATTGGTGGGTCTTTGCGAAGCATTAGTTGGAGGTAGAGCAACAGCAGCATTGGTAGCGTCGGTGAGAGATGAAAAGGAGGAGGATCTTCGCAAAAGATTGTGGGGAGACAATTCTGCTGCAATCAGTTTAGCTACAGGAGAGGGTCAAGGAAGTTGGCGCACGAGACATTTGAGAATCCGAGCTTCGATTTTGCGTGCGGCACTTCATCAAGGAGAATGGCAGTTAGGTCATCTCAACGGCAAAGAGTTAGTTGCGGACTCTTTCACAAAGGTGGTTGATGGACAAGCGTTTGAACGTGCTCTACAAGATCTCTGCGTGGGCACAACCAAATCCAAAAACTTGGGCGAGGGTGGAGTTCGAAGCGACATGATCAATGCCAAGATCGCTATGCTGGTGGGCTCCACACTACTTTCAACAGCAAAAGCATCGGATGGTATGGAGAAAGATGATGATATGTTCTGGCTTTGGACTTGCGGTCTGATCCTGATGTGCGTGGGTGCAGTCTACGTGTGCAGCAAGGCGTACCGAAGTGGCGTTCGGTTGTACAAGAGACTCAGTGGGGCATCGGGTGACCACTCTGGTCCCAAGGTCAAAGAACATGGAACAGAACCTCAACTGAAGATGCTGAGGCTGAGTAGTAGCGAAGAAGAGAGCGATGAAGGAGTCCAACGGAGAACAGATCTGAGAGCACGTCAACGCCTGAACCTCGCAAGTTTCGTCTTCATACAGGAGACCAGTTGCCGAAGCGGAAAAAGAAGAAGAACAAGAACAAAAGGGCGAGTGGAGAGGATGATGATGCAGCTGTGGAGAGGGCGTGGCAATCAATGTTGCAAACAACATCCAATCTTTATGGCGCATCTTCATCTCGGCAGTCACGGCCACAGTCGGGCTCAAGCAGCGCTGTGGTGGATGATTCATACAGAATGCGGCCACAGTCGGGCTCAAGCAGCGCTGTGGTGGATGATTCATACAGAATGCGGCCACAGTCGGGCTCAAGCAGCGCTGTGGTGGATGATTCATACAGAATGCGGCCACAGTCGGGCTCAAGCAGCGCTGTGGTGGATGATTCATACAGAATGCGGCCACAGTCGGGCTCAAGCAGCGCTGTGGTGGATGATTCATACAGAATGCGGCCACAGTCGGGCTCAAGCAGCGCTGTGGTGGATGATTCATACAGAATGCGGCCACAGTCGGGCTCAAGCAGCGCTGTGGTGGAAGATTCATGCAGAATGCGGCCACCTTCGGGCTCTAGCGGCGCTGTGGTGGATGAGTCACGCAGAATGAGGCCACCATCGGGCTTTAGCAAGGCGGCTGCTGAGAAAGTCTCACCCCAAAATCCATGGAATGAATTTCAACAGGAAATGTCAGGGCGGGGATGGACTCAAGATAAAGTCCGGGCAGAGTACTGGAAATTCAAGTCGACTGGCAAAAAGCCAGTATGAAAGGGCACAACCCAAAGAATGCCTTGAGCCTAGAGGAGTTTTTCCCCCGGAAAAAGGGGGAGCACAGAACATTTGCACAACTTGGACATATTCATCTGATCTTTGAAGGCATTTCTTATCAAGAGAAAAGGACCGTGCCCTCGACGTTTCGAGGGGGCTCTCCATTGTCAGCATTGCGGGGTCGATTCGGTGTGACGCTCCTGCTAGGCGGATTTGCAAACGGCTGTGACAAAACACATTGGCACGGCTGCGCGCGGCAAAGCAGCAGTGATGCTGCAGGGCTCCTGGCAAGCGGGCTTGCAGCTGGAGGTTGCTAAACGCAGAAAGGTAGTTTTTGACCATAGTGCTGCTCTTGTGCTAGCTATGCGGGGTTGCAGCTGGAGGCTGAACAGCCAGTGAAGAAGTAGCTCAACAAGAAAATTAGGCGTCCATCCATCCATTCATCCATCCACCCATCCATCCATCCATCCCTCCTTGATTCATTGGTCTTCATTACTTTTCTGATTCACTGAATCATTGCTGATTCATTGACTCATCTACTCACTACTTCTTTCCTTCATTGATTCATTCATCCATTCATTGATTCACCGGCTCACTATAGATCACTCATGCACTGATTCATTAATTCATTTTTTCACTGAACCATCGATTCATTGATTCAGTCAATGATTGATTCATTGATTCGTTGGTTCACTGATGCGTTCATTGATTCATTGCTTCGCTGGTTCATAGATTCATTGATTCAGTGATTCACTGATTTATTGCTTCATCCCCTCACTGGTTCATTGGTTCATTCACTGAGTTGGGCATGGGGTTTTTGTCACTCCAGTGGCATCTCAACCGCCATTTCCTCATTCGCTGGTGCACCTCACAACTTCAACCGCTCATGGCTTCTGCATCTCCAAAACGGTCCTATAGGCCATCGATTTCTTATAGCCATTTCCTATTTTCGAAACTTCCGCCCCGGCCCGGCATGGGCCGGGCAATACTGGTATCATGCTGATAAATTTGAGGCAACTGTGCTTTAGTAACGTTCATAATGCTGCAAAGCTGTTCTCATAAAGTATGGCAAGATATGGCAAGTTGATGGAGGTCGTTAGGCTTGAAGGCACAAAGCCAACAAAGCCAACTTCTGTGCAGTTTCAAGAACTTTCCACAAAATCATTGCACTTTCCACCCCAGGTGATTTTGCCATGCTTTCCATAGTCTTTCCATCACCCTCACGTTGCCCAGGTTGCCCGTTTCACATTCTTACAATGTAAGATTCGTAAGATTTGTAAGGTTCATAAGAACATCAGATTCATAAAATTCTGAGGTTAAAAAGTCTTCAATGTGCTGGACCGAGCTGGGCCAACGTCTGCATCGGCTCAAATTGTTGCCCCGTCCCGTGGCCTCAACCGGAAGATCGGCGCTTGGCAAACCCAGAGCTCCAAGCGCACCTGGCGACAAGCCGACAAGCCACTCATCTCACTTCATCTGACAAAATTCTCTAAAGAGATCTAAAGAGACTATAGTCACTTGCAGATAGAATAACCCAGTTAGAATAATACGCACGCCCACTTAGAATGTTCCGAAATCGGATGAATCCATTCAAGAAGTAATGTTTTTATTGACATCTTCATTGCCAAATATTCTAAGTGCAAAAAGCACATGCAGATAGAACATTGTGGAAATTTTCACCCAGGCCTCCAACGGAGCACCGGGGTGCTCAAGGATTTGGACAAACATATTTCAAGTGCTTGTGACATCTTCTAACATCGTGTGACATCGTGTGACATCTT